TAACCTTTGTTCCAAGGGCTCTGGCATTTGAGAATTTCCACAATCACTCTGAGCAAAAACATGTTGTTTGATAAATTGTATACATTCTTGCAATTTTTGCAATATCAGCCTGTTTGCACTTCAATTTACATAGCTACACTTTCTGTGGTTTGTTTTAACAATCACTCTACAACACCTGCTGCAATACATGAACAATAACCACATAATGAGAGACATTGTGAACAGCAAAGTACCCAAAAGGCATTACCCAGATTGTTAATATTAACATATTATTTTGAAAAATGAAGGCCTAATTATCAATGCCTAATTTGTCAGCTGTTGGAAGCTGGGAAGCATTCAGTCTGGTACTGCAACCTTAATTTTTAACCAACAGACGCAAACTTAACAAGGCTGCTTGAACTTGAAAGTATATGGATTGTACTGTATATTTACAAGTTAACCAAACAGCTGTGGTTAAGTGTGACAAAGTATATGTTAAAAACAAAACATCATCTAATCCATAATTATCTGCATCACTACTGTACACAGCTCTCAAGAATTGCTACAGTACCTCACAAGCCACATTTGAAGAAAATAACCACAATGTGTCTATAATATCTATGAAGTATACACACTACCGTGCAAAAGTCTCAAATACTGTACCCAATAAGACGTTAAAGTGTTACTTTACGTTATGAGATTCAATAACACACTCAAAGACTCAACTACTATGTCAACTTTAGTATTACTACAGCTTAGTTTGGGTAAGAAGAAATCAAGCTTGTCATTCAGCAAACATCATCATATTCAAGAAACAAATTACAAAAAGTCCAAATGAAAAATGTCAAAGATTTTTGTAAAATCTATGCAATGCAAATTATGTTTGTCTCAATTATTAAGCAGAATGCTAACAAACCAGTTCATATATGATAGTCTGTGTCTCTGAGGGGTTATGTTCAGTGCTATAAGGTTCTGTAAAAACAATCATAAATAAAACAGTATTATTGCTGTAGAAGATCTTTGAGCTCACATTCCTTATTCGTACTCTTTGCCTGTGCATACCAAAATTACAAGTATAATAAATATGCATGGTTTCAAAACATCCACATGCCTAATTACAAACATCGGGCAAACCTATACTGGTGACATTGTGAATCAGTTGTGATTCAGTTGTGTGCAAAGTACACGTCATGCATACCAACATGGTTGACAACCCCAGAATACTGGCAAACAAATGGTGCTTTCTGATGGTTCTTCGATCCATTTGGTCTTTGGTCATGATGGAATACAGGTAGGCAAGTTAAAGCATTAAAGGTTCTGTCAAATAACATCACTGTTTGGTGGCAGCAACTGTGCAGTGATGGGGCCATTTAGTCCAATAGGAATTAGTTTATTTATAAGGATGTTAATACTGCACAACATTTAGTACTTCTGATTACATTCAACTTGCAATAACATCAATGTCCAATACAATACCTTCATATTAAAACAGTAGTCACTGTTTCCAGCAGCTACACATAGGCCAAACCGCCTAGCCAAACATACGCATGAACTCTGACAAAATGTACACAAGAATGCATATTGAAATAGCGTTTCATAGAAATACACTACACGATTACTTGCCTGCCAACAGTTGCAATGGTACAGTATGTAATCATATAGCTCCAAGTCTCTCACATTGGGACTAAATTAAAATATATGCATCAAGTCTAGGTTAATTAAGAAATTAATGAATGTAAAATTTTGAAACTGCTGTAGATGCTTGCAAATCTGCCAATTAACCAATGTGTTTTTTGTACATGAATACAAAAAAACATCAACATAGCACAAATGGTATGCAATCTCAATTTTTGATGGAAAATGTCATGCATTACGAGTTTTGGACCCTTGAGAGCTATGTTACTAATTGACAAAAGTTTAGGGTTCCCTTGCAGCTGAATCACGAGATCACAAACAAATACTGTGTCCTTCACCTGCTCACGAATGTTGGAGACAAGATTTATCATGAATAATAAAGGGAGTGGAAGTCACTAAAGTATCTAAGTGAGGAAAAGACTCTCAATGAGCACAAAATAACAATCCTCAATAGCAATGCCTCTATAGCAAAAAGAATACAATTATGGCTTGATGCACAGAAAATCACATTTAAAAAACAAATCAAATCAACATTTAAAACACAAAGCTCTTCCTTGGACAGCATCATGGGTAGCCTACAGTACATCTTAGATGATCCTCTATTATCAAACGAGTTGTTGTGGTCAAATATCTTAACCAGGATAATAAAATGTAGTTACAATAAGACAGCAACTGTAGTTAATGTGCAAGCTAGTACAGTAACCTAACTGATAGTTAGCAAGGTGGGGGGTTACCACTTTCCTAAGTTTTTTACTGCCCTGGTAATGCTGTCCTCTCATGACAAGAACCTCTCAAGACTTTCTGTGTCAATCTGAGATGAAATGCCATTCTTTTGCCAGCAGTAACATAAAATATTAACAACTCAGAGCCCTCACAATGACCTGGATAGATGTCAACATTAACCACTAGAAAATAATGTCAGTGATCTGGAAGTTGCTTTACAGACATAATGGAGGATCATCTAGGTGGTACATCTGCAGGGTCTCTGCCAGTCTATGCCTCACAGAATGCATGCCATTGTTTGAGCTAATTGTGGAGTCACTATGTATTGATCACATACTGTATGTAGGGGAATCTGAGTAAAAGCCACTAAGTGATCCATACCATATGGCTTACAATGATCACAAACATGTTCATAGGTGATGCAATGTTGCATTCAAAGCACAGAATCTTACATTTTATCCCCATTTACTATTTTCAGGAGGAAAAACTTAAAACATGTTATACTATATTGCTCTTTTTAATTCTCATGTGTATCAAAGTTTGTTTTCTAAAATTCAGTATGTTTTAAAAAGCAGTGCTATTAAACAGGGACCTACACCGTATAACAAGATTATTCAAATTCCCCTCATCTGCATTCATTCCCCTCAGCATCACCTCACAATCTGCATCATGCCAGATACTATTACTAAAAAGTTATAAAGTCATAACAACAGGGTTCTCAGCATCCAGCAAGCTGAACTGTTAGTCCAAAAATCTTTAGGCTAATATTTACTGTAGCGATCTGGAAAGTCACCAACTTGCTACAATGTGCCTGTGCTGAGATGACAAGCGCTGACAAGCACATTCAGCAAGATCTCAAGCACAAAGCTTTCTATTGCCTGACTTATCCAAAGGGACAAGGAGAATTTTAACAAAGGAAGAACTGATGATTTTGTGCATCACAGAAGGTAGGGCATCTTAGGTGTTAAGAGTTACCTAATTTTTTTTAATATCGGTTGTTGTCTGCATTCTGATGTAGTAAATTCTAGAAAACTACATGTAATGGACATAACACAGAACACCAAAAGAAGAGACTAAAAAGCAATTTCTTAAGTTGCTCAAACAATGGACTTATACCGTAACAAACTTGTGTCCATAACAATGAATTCCACAGAAAATTACCTATTTAAAGTGGATATATGCTCTTGGTAGTCCAATCGATGAATTGATCTGCCAATGAGAACCCACATTGCTCAAACTCACTGTTGAATCAATTAAACTATTACAGCCCTAACAGACACGCATCTATTATCTACATATCCATTATCTGTGAGACAGAATGAATTGGAAAAAGGAAAAGGCATCCATCTTCTACATTTCGTGGATAACTATATTTTAAAAAGGAGATTTAACATCAAAGGGGCGTGACATGGTGTACATCAAAATGCCACTCTATCAGCAAAGCCTACTAAGGGCCACTCTCTTCAGACCAGCCAAAACAAAAGTTGCAACTGCAAATGTTCAACTTGATAAAAACAGATTTGATCTAAAAAATAGCATTCGGACATTTTGAACACTATGATTTGACAAGTTTTGATATTTTAGCATATAACAGAAAAGCAGACTATTCATGGTTAAACAGCAGCCCTTTACCGTATATTTTGTAATATATTGTAAGTAGACAATTAAGTTACTTCACATATTAATTGTTTACATCTATGGTGTTCTACCTTAATGATTATTTCTAATTAAACTTTCAATTCAAAACAAAACCATGTAATGTATTCCAGAATCTGACTGAACACTTTTGAGTCATGGAATGTATTAACTACCCATAATTGGGCAACAGCTCACCAGATGTATTATAGCCAGCCCATGAGTATATTTTGTCTGACACGCCAAGGTTGTCAAACAGGTAATTACCTCTTTTCTCAAACTGATCTGCAATAATCAATTTAATATATATTTTAATGATTGCAGACTGATGCTTTCCTTTTTGTTGACAGTGTTATTAATAAAATTCACATCCTTGAAATCAGAACTGAGACTGTCGAAATACATCTATCATTCACAGTAATCACAGTTACAAGAATAATCACAACAATAATAAATCCTTGGCTGAAAAGCAATATGCAGATATTATAGAAAATATGATGAAATCACAATGCAAAGCAGCCTCTGTGCCACTGCTCTTACATGTGATGAGATCATATTGTGTTATTCATCCACCTTATTTAAAGTATGCTTTTATATATACCTACAGTTAAACTGAAGGTACAGTAGATGTAGAGACTTTAACTACCAAGACCAGAGTGCTTTTTGAGACTGCTGTTGTTTCCATCCCCCAGCTTTCTCTACACAAATGTTGTAGTCTGTCCAGGGACTCTGCAATGAGCATGACGTACCAGAATGCATCAGTACAAGTACTTCTCCTTGCATTTCTGTGGCTCAGGTGGCTCCACTGAGAGGAGTCATTTTTAAGATCGACAATGTGGCTTCATGGAGATGTTTTGGAGTGTGCAATTTTCTTACAATGACATAATTAATTCTGAACCGCAGTTTGGTTTACTTTTGATTTTTGCTTTGCTCGGGATTGCCCCTTTAACAATTCAGTTATCCTTAAGCTGCAGGAAGTAACATGCTTGTAAGATCACAACATGCAAAGTGTGATGCAAATGTCCTACCTGTTGCAGTCTACATGAAGAAGCAGGTGCGAGGCACTGACAGAAAGTGCGATCTTATGCCACTGTCCATCTGCCAGCCGGTAAGGAAAAGACTCCCTTCTGGGTTTCCCGTTGAATAGGTAATGGTATCTGATTTCTTCTCGTAATCCACTGCTCTCCAGTTCAAAATAACTGTTGATTTAAGTCACAAGAAATAAGATTTCAACAGCCTGCTCCTGTGTCAAGAACATATACACATCACAGTAAAGTAGGGAATATCAACGTTTTTATCAAATCCACCTAAAGAGAATTGTAGTATGACAATAAGCAAAGAAATAATTAACATATCTGGAGCTTAAACTTATTTAAACTACTGGGCCAGAATCTTCCGTTTTCTGTGAAAGAGTAATGCTTGTGTCTTGTTAGGCAACAGAAATCTTCCAGCAAAATCAGTGAGAGACGCACCAATCAGTGTTAACTCTCCTGTGAAGCACTGCAGACCATGGAGCATGTCAAAAGATGAATGGGTCAAAAAGTTGCCAGAGGAACCATAGCTGCAGTGAAATACTGGAGTTGCGGTCATAAGCAACTGGTGAATCTAATTTGGGTAGGCATATAATAAAACTACTGAATTTGAGATATCAACTTTTTGATAAAAAAATAAATTGCTGATATTCTAGAGATTCATGACTGCCTCCTTATAACAAACAAACGCTTTGCTAATAAATGATGCTGCAGGCACTAAGAGCTAAGTAAAACTATCTTTTAAAAACTACAGACAAAAAGGTAGGTGAGGTCAAAACTCTCTTTACCCACAGCTGCCACAACAAAGGAGAGGCCAAGTCAATAAAAAAGCTTCAATAAAGCTTCAATAAAGCAAGTGATGGAACACAGCACTGAGAGACATCAGGGTCAGAGGGCCTGTGTTTCTGTAGAAATATATGTACATGATCAGCTCTTGATAGCTTTGATAAATAAAGAGCAAAGGGGAAAAGATCATTAATGATGGAGTTGTACTCAGCCGAGCATGAGATTTTATCCCCCCCCCCAACTGCTACAAACTCAGCTTGGCTGTGCTACCAGACCCAAGTAGACCTCATAAATATTTATAGGAATAAGCACAGTAGTGTCACACCGAATACAAAGTGAGAGGGGGAAGAGGGTGAAGATTAGTCTCATAATTGTGTATTAGCATTAACCAAGAACATCATAGAAATGAATATGATGTAAAGCTATATATACATACAAAGGTTTGCACACAGACACACTCTAAAACTAATGTAATTCACTGATTTATTACAGTAAGTGTAATACTTTAATTTCTAAAGTACACTACCATTCCTTAGATACTACTGAAAGATTACTAAACATTCATTTGGCCTAAGAAGTGGTAGTTACGGTCTTGCAGTGAATTTAAATCTTCATAAATGAAGATTGAAGAGGAGCGGGTGCAAATATATTTTAAGAATACAATTCAATGCCTATGTCCATTTTTTGTGGTTTCCACAGAAAATTTCAAAATTTCTATTTAAAATTAGACACTTCAAAAACAATATTCCTCAATCAGCCCCTCTTCAGCTTCTGCTAATACCAGTCTTTGCCACAGTGGGAGTGTATTAACTCGACACTATGTTCAGTGAAAAGCCACAGGTGTAGCTTGGACTAGATTTAGTGAGACTGTTGTCTTCTGCAGCTCTTGTCATTTTGCATCTCAGAGGGGAAGAGATATGCAAAGGGGACTAAAAATTAAAATTCAGAACATTTGCTTAGGAACTCTTAAATATTAATTTGTAATAGCTCTAGAAGGTCAACAAAACTTTCACTGCTATCAAGGCAAAGTGGATAGAAAACTATTGCCCTTTTGCAATCATTTAAAAACATTTTTTTTGGTTCTGTAAGCCACTACAAAATCTCATTTCAAAAGCATTACCCAAGAACAGAGTGGGTGAAGGATATATTTACAGAGTCAGGCTGGTCAGAATGTTAATTATTAACCTTTAGAGGTTTTTTTTATATTTGGGCCTTTTGTTTCTTTTCCATTTTTCAATAGTGAAATAATGCTCTTAGAAATTACCTTATACCTGTGAGTCTCCAAACCCACTATGTGTTTGGATCCTACTTCGACCCATGATGACTAACAGTCAAAGGACTGGTTAAACACTGCTTAGCCAACATCAGCTATTTCTGCTGGATCAAGCAATGCAGATAAACTTGCATATTTATTTTGGAGGCCTGAAGTCACATGTATGTACATAACATTTCCAGAAAAAAATGGCATATTTTAAACAGCTTTAAAAAATGAATACCACTTTGGTAGCCTCCATAGTATCCTGTTATTATGACATTATTTGCCAGAAAAAAAACATTTTTAGGAGCTGTTAAAGTAATTTGTTTCCAGAATTGTGAAGCCCCTGCTCTAAAAGTGGAGAAATGCAATAACTACTTCTATTCAAAACCGTTTCAAGACTGGTGGATAGGAAACAATATTACTTGTAGAAGAAAGAAATGAAAAGGCACGACTATGCCTAGCCTAGGACTATAATTCATAAAGGCTAATGGGAAACAATACAAGAAAAATGGGCCATGAAAATATACTGAATGATTTCTAAAAATGTGTTTTCAAGTGATTCATTCTACAGTTTTTCCACAAAACAAGGAGAAGTCATCTATGTACTATACATAGTTGTGCTTTGAATTTACCTAAATAAGTAGTATACACTACTGTGCTTTGAGTTTATCCTAAGTAAATCTGTTTATTATTAATGCCGCATACACACTTAACTAAATGATCTAGGTTCCTTTTTATAAACAGTAACCATAGTAACTACGCTTCCCTGCTGCACAAAACACTCATCAGTCTTACCTAACAATTAACACATTGCTAATTACCAGTTATTAATTAAAAAACACTTTTATATGACCTAAAAAATTTGCATATCCACATCACAAATAAAAATCTGGTTATATGTAGAGGTACTGGGAAGATGTGTCCTGCCATTTGTTTTTTAAAGGATAACTCTAGTTAAGTAAACAGAAATCTGACAGCTCATTTCAATCAAATCTAAACTGTTCGCGATGAATGTCAGGAACAAAGTATTTGCATTTTTATACTGACAGATGCAACTGCATAGATTAATGCTAAAGTGTTTTCTTTTACATACCAATGAACTTACCAAAATACATATACAGCTTTATACTGGCTAGAAGGTACCATAACAGGAATATGTATAAAAAAAACACTACTGAATAATCATATAAAGTAATAAACATCTGTACCTACTAACCCTTTTCATATTTGAAATTTCAGTGCATTTCTTCAAAGTCAAACTGGGAATTAAACTGCAAGCTCTAGAATTTGAGGCTTTGCAATTTGTTAGGTCCACTAGTACACGGCTGTCGAGGGAATAAAATTAAGAAGGCTGCAAGCAGAGGCTGGAGAAAAAGAAATATTCTCTGAATGGCCTTAATAAAAAAAGAAAGCAATAAAAGAAAAAATGCAGCACATTTCTGAATGACATTACTTCCTATAAGTAATGGAAGACTAGATGAGTACCTTTCGGTACTAGGGCATAATATTAGGTAAACTACGTAACTGACAAAAAAAAACTAATAAAAAATCCAAGTTAATCTGAAAATTTAAATAAAATGTGGGACTTTTTAAAGTAAAAAGTAATTCAGAATCTTACTTTGATGTAGTGCATCAATCTGAAGCTCATTAAAGTGCTGGATAAAGAACTGATGTAAATGGGAACTGTTTTTAAATGTAGGCATTTAAAAACAGTTCCCAAGAGAAAGTACACTGCCAAAAGTGATGAAGGACAACTACGTCATACCTTCACCAATTAAAAATAAAAACTGGATTTTTCCATTGTTTACACCTGGTACATTACAGCCTCTTAATTCCTATCTCCAATCTAAAGTTATTGAAGTTACTGCCAGTCCTTTTGTTTTAAAATTTACCAGAACAATATGCAACTTACTGTAAGTCTCATTAAATATTAGAAAATTAGTTTGCTGCAATAACCAGATGCAAAACAAAACCGATTTAGGAATAGAAAAAATGTATATCTGGAATGTCTCAAAAACCTCCAAAAAACAGATGAGATTTTCTCTGATGTTTATGAAGATTAAATACCTGTGTGGGGAATATTTTCTATTGCTCAAGAGGGGCATTTTAAACCTTGAATTGTTTAATGAAAATCCTAATTCCATAAATGCCAGCTTACAAGACATTTACACCAGGTCAAGCAGATAACCTTCCAAATATGAATATGTTCAATTTTAATACTATTAACTGCAAAAAAGAACAAAGACTTTTTGTAATAAAAGGCAAAGTTTGGACTGACAATGTGTTCAACAAATTAAGAGCTATAAAATTGTACTTTAAAACTCGTAATGTCTGCAAGCACTGTACACTCTGCAAAAAACAGCAAAATCAGCTCTACCTTTAAGTCTCATCACTACTGAAATGCCTGTACTGATAACAGACGGTCCTGATACTGTAGTTGGAAACTGCTGGTGGTGCAGAAATTTTGCTTTCTTCTTCTAGTATATTTTAGAATTAAAAATGTGCCTGCAAACTGACACTCTGTAAAAAGCACTTGCAGCAGTATATGAAATACTGGAAACCTACTGTAGGAAACAGTAAAAGAAGGATTCTGGATATCACAAAAAGTTCCTTGATCAAACCAGCATGGGGAAATATTTCCTTTCCACACAAAAGCAAAAGTGTTATTAAACCTTCTGAATGAGCTGAATTTCCAGGCACTTAAAGGCTAATCTTGAAGCCTTTTTAAAAAAAAAAAAAGAAGTGGCACTTGAGTCATCTTTAAAAAAGTTATGCTGCCACTTTGATCATGCTGTCTCCTAAGATACGGCTAAAATGTACCTGCTGCAAGTTAGTCTGTAAATATCAAAGTATGCACTTCACCACTCGCATTTTATGAATGTGAAGATGAAAACAGTAACAAACCGTTCTCATGGGGTAGATTTTTTTTGTGCATCTCATGAGTGATAAAATATAAGAAGGTTCCCAAAACATCTTATTACAACTTGGGTTAAAAATAAATCTGTGTTCTCGACACTATGATCTGCATTTTTCAGCATTCAGTAAACAACATACGCTACCCCACAGACAGACAAACAGGAGTTCAGAAATATGCTATCTCCCATAGAAAACCTGGCAATGCACACAAAATGAAGAGCACATAAGGCAAAACAAAGAGAACTAAGGCAGCTCAAAAGGGAAAGAATAAAAGAAAGCAGTGAGAACACCAGTGAGAACACCCCTTTAGTAAAGTCCCTGGAAAATATAAAACTTCAGTCTCTTTGCTCATTGTTTTCTGGTCTGTGTGTGGATTTATGATAAGCAACTTTTCCTTCTGAATAATGGAACACTACTGTCCTAGATTCCTTTTGGCTGCACAACTGCCAGTATGCAACAGTTCACAGCAGCTTAAGACGGGGGGGTGGGGGTTGTTCAAAAACCATTAAAGGTGAATGGGAATTTTAGCTGGTTGGGAAAGCAGAAAACCGCTCTAAAAAAAATGAAAAAACAGTAGCAATTCACAGTGAGCTAAAATTAAATTCGATGAATTTCAAATGGCCCTATTTAGTCAAGACTGACATTTGCTTCGCCTGGATTTTTCCAATAGAGGCAGGATGGTAATTAACTAAATATGCCCACTGTGCTAAGTGACCCTGTGAGTGGCTGGGGAGCAGTGGGTAAAAATACCATTTTTCCTCAACACTTTATCCCTCATTCTACTAGGATAGTTCAAGAATAGATGAAAAATACTATCCTAGGTGGTTTATTTACTGTAATTACTTTATACTACAGTCATTGTGCATTAATTAACCTCCGCTTTCAGGCAAATTCACACCCTCCCACATACGTATCCAAATTTACAACAGATACTGGTGGAGATGTTTTCAATTGAGAGGATGATCACAGAATATCCTTGATTTATATGTCACTATAGAGACTGGATACCTCAAAACCCTACAATAATAATAATACGGTGTACGACGAAATTGCAGAATATTCAATATCACATCACCCAAGTGGGTACTGATCTTCAGGTGTGCATGGTGGGGTCTCCACTTAAGTGGTCATTACTTTGGGATCATTCTGATTGAAACGTGCAAGGACTTATTATGGTTATTATATCATTGGTTTCAGCCCACAGGAAAATGCATTGTTTCACTGAACCATAGGCAATGTGGGATCAATTCCCTTTCACCTATAGATAAAATTAATCAGATAAAAAAACAGGACCTGTCAAGGGCATGACATTGAGCAATAGGATTAATACCCTGCAGTCTGTTCGCATCAGATAATTAAAGTTGTCTATGGTCAGTAACTGGGACAGGAAACCTCCAAAAAAAAAAAATCGGATTCTGCTAAAAGCTGTGTTATTGTGATACTGGCATTCTATCCTGTGAAACAGAACTGTAACCAATGCCTCAGTATGGTAACAGCAAAGACTGTTAGGAGGTGCTGGTCTTCAGATCAGAAATTAAACCAAGGTCCTGAATGCTTAGTCATTAAGAATCCCATGGCACAATTTGGGAGATTAGGGGTGTTAATCCCATTTTCCTCTCCAGAATTGCTCGATTTAGCCTACGAACATTTCCCCCTTTACTCAACCGATGAAGTGATTTTTCGCTTCGCCATCTGATCTGCTGAGCAGAGCAGATGCTGCGTGTCATACTGTATAAATGGAGAATGAAGACGGTCCCTACATATACATAGCGTGCAATATTAGTTATTATCTGATGGCATGTTTTGATCAGTTCTTCATGGGAACGGGCAGGATGAAACCCATGAAAACAATTACCAAGAACTGTGGAGTCAGAAGACAAAACAATTAAAATAAAAATATATTACCTGTGGTCTGAGTCATGGATGGAGAATATTATCCCTGAAGTTAATGACTTCTGCTGGACTGACGCAAGGAATGTGAACTCACTTTTATTCCTAAAGAGCTGAACAATCTTCTCAGCAACATGTGGTGGAGCATGGACTTCTCTTTCTACATCTAGAAAATGTGCAAAAAGGGTAAGAAAACGTTTAAATCAACAGAATCTTCAGTACATTCAATAAATGCAAAAATTGTAGGCAACTGACTACTAGAATCTACTACTACATTCCTACTAGAAAACCTGTATCATCCTATCATAAAACATCATAATTGTTCAAATAAATTCACAAAACAGGTTGATAAAAATACATTTTTAAATTGGTTTAAAGATAGAACATGCTACAGCTACACTGCTATAATTGATTTCTTTTTCATTCCCTTACTACATTATACACAAATGCTTAATATATCCTCTCTTCTCTTTTTAAAAAGCAAATTACAAATTTGAATGGCATCCATCACACTCAAAAGCTTGGTTAAAAAAAACAGAGGGTCAGGAAAAATGCATAAACGTGTGCCAATCATTCACATTCTTCAGCTCAAAAGACATCTTCCCTACCCAGAAAACCTGCAACTCATAATGTTTCATAAACCTGCTGAAGATAAACCAGATGAGCCGAGAGTGTTGGAAAGCAACAGCTCTCTGGATCCACAGTAGAGTGCATTCTGCATTCAACTGCATGTTTCTTTTGCAATCAGATTGAGTTTGTCACACAGAAAACTATAAGACAGAATGCCATTCTGCACTTGTTCCATTCAGTATGTTTTAAATATCCCTGGGGTTGCACGGCAAGCTCAAGAAAACACCAAAGAGTGCCGCTGACCTGCTCTTATATTTATATAAAATAAGTGGTTTAGAGTTTTTCACCTGAAAATGAAAATCAAAGAATATATTTTTTCATTCATGACGCAGTAATTTTTAGGGCTTATGAAGAATACTGGTACAAACGGCTGCAATCTTTAATAGATCCACACAGCTGACACAGCACAGGGAAGCTATATCTAGTTCACTCCAAATTCTCCCAACAATACGTCCCAAATGTCCCTGTATTGAACAGCTGTGGGGGAGAGGATAATTAAATCTCCAATACTTAAATCACTGAACTTTCACCTTTTGTCTGCTTCTAAAGGAAGCTACTGTATCTGTACATTAAAGTCTGTTTTTGAGCTTGCTTGCGGTCTCTCAAGGGGTAGATACAGAATTTCACCAGACTTCTCACTTCTGGCCTGACCTAAATTCAGATCACTGTAAATTATAACACGCTAGCAAGAACTTCCCCCCCATGAATCTTTCTTCTAACAGAAAGACGACATGAGTATTCTTTGAATCGCTTGTTTGTTATATATCTTAGAAGGTATGGTTTATGAGCGGTCATTTGAGATTATATTAAAGACTTCGAAGAACAATGCATAGTGAACTGGCTATAAACATTTGTAATTTTCTGTTTTATTTCTCTTTACACATGCTAAAAGACATTATCAAGGAAATAACCACATTACATTAAAAAATAAATGTTCATCTTGTAGTAATTTTCAGCTCTCCCTCTGTAAAGAAGGATTTCCAGACAAATTGCGATAATGATTATTGCAACAATATGTAATGTCTGATCTGAGTAACAGGAAATTTGTGACGGTGTGAGACATGTTAATTATATCTCATTAAGCCTAACCATCATTGTATAGCAGTTCATCAGGTTTAGCTCAAGGAAAGTGAGTGAGTTTGTAGAGGTATCTTTATAAAGCTTTCAAACTAAGAGGCTGTGCCGCACAGTAAATGGACAGGCATCTGTTCTGCTTGTCTGCTTAAAAACATATTGCTGCTCACATTAAGTAAGCCTGTTACTCCACACTCAACAAGACAAAGAAACATGTGAAGCTCATGCTGAAAAGACACCACTGTCAGCAGGAAACGTCTTCACAGACAGACTAAATCCAAGCAGCCTCTGGAGAGGTTCTGCCTGCTGCCTCCTTCCAGTGCCTTTACACCAAGCCTTCTCAGTTGAACTCCTCTTCTATTGTATAACTCACGGCATTATTATTTTTTAGCAATTATAAAGAAATGTATTCCAATACCACAAAAACCAGAACACAGTTGTCTTATAAGAACAATGTCCAAATGTATCAAAATTGTACTTTTACCTCAGCACCAGAAAAATGGTAACATTATGAGGTGCAAAAACTACAAAATAAGTACAGTACTTTCTTTTCCCTTTTTAATTTGGACACTGAACACAGCATAGCAGCTACAACATAGCAGGAGTTAGAAATTATTTTTCAGCAATTAAAATTGACCACCACTGCTCCAAACCAATGGTCTATATTGGTCATAATAGGAAATGATATATTAACTTGTTTTTCTAATACATATTAATGTAACATCACTTGTTGATTACAGACGTACTCCTCCTGGACGTTTACATAAAGAACATAAATATTAAGGGTGAAAAAGATGCATTCTAACACTCATATGCATCATACATATTGGCCTCTGCAGACGTGACTGACAGAGGGAAAAATCTACAGAAGAGTCTGGTACACAATGTCAGTAATGCTGAATTGTTTGGCTAACACAGGTAATTTAGTTAGTGGAAAATGTGAACTACCATTGATTAAATCAACCTTGCTTTTTAATAAGTTGTGTTCACAAGGTGTGCAAGGCTAACCACCTGAAAATAGGGAGATTTGCACACCCTGGTATTTCAGGGAGATTCATTAAATACAGCCCCTGGCAATCTTCACAACCTTACAAGCTAACGACCACTGCATCAGACCATGACAAGAACGCAGAGCCTATTCCATGTTCAATAATGCCCTCTCTTTGAACACTTATTTCCCTGTTCCAAGATGAGCTTTTTATATCACAGCATACTCCCACAATCACTACTAAATTAGAAAATTAATTATATCGTGTTTGGCTCAGACACAGTGTGAAAGGTAAACCTTATACACATTATTTTCAGAAATAGCAAACTGTAGAAAAGAAAGTGCTTAGATTTTTTTAGCTTTATATCTCAAAGATACTACTACGTGCTCTAATTTTTACTACGGTGATCAACATTTTCCATCCTTTTGGGCAATACACTCATCCCGATGATACTCTCATTTCCATTTAAATGAATATTATATGCTGCAATGTTCTTCTCATACAAAAACATTATGACCCAATTTTACTAAAGTCTATTATTGTTATAGATCATCCAACTATTACAAGATCCTTATAAACGCTTTAGTCGTGCAAGGGAAATACCTTATGTTCCAATGGGAAACGCCTTTTCATGAGATTTATCAGTGGGCATTGGTGACAACAATGCTACAGTGCATCCTGAGGCCCACAGACCTCCCCCTTCACAGTGAAGCAGTTTATTAAATGGACCCTTGGGTTCTGCTCTAATTTCCTCAAAATGCACAACCACCAGACTAGCAAATGGAAATAAATCAGGACAACCAGGTGTCTGTCCATTTGCATTTCGAAAGCACTCGCTGTGTAGGCTAGTGTAGCCTAATTATGAAACTGGCCTGTATCATAATTGGCCACAGGCTGCAAATCCCCTAAATAAGCCCACATAAGTAAATACCCAGGGCAATTATGCAGTAGGAACTTCCATGAAGCATGAATTCCACCATTAACCAATACAACAATTACTTACACTTACTGTGCAATGAAATCTATTTCTCAGGCCATGCAACAATCTCATAGCAGATTTAGCGCATAAATTGAAAGTGTAGTGCACAACAGCTCCTAATAATGGCAAACTTGTCAGCAGACCACTGGGATTTGGTCAAGTCATTATAATTAAAAGGACGCCGATTCAATTTTTCAATAGCAAAGCCCTTTTTTAATTAATGGAATTCTATAGCACACATGCTACCCTTTGTCAGGTCAGCAATAGGCACTTCAACATCACAGGAGTTTTTAAAGTACTTTTTTTCATTTGTTACTGAACTGCACTGAGCCATTGCCAGCTGTTTTTTTTTTTAAGTACTTAAATTTAACAACAAGCCCATGGACACAAAAAAAACTTCAATCAGCCCATCAGCCACAAACAACAAACTCAGTACTTCAGCATCTTCCTATACGTTACAATCAAAAAGCCCATGTTGAACAACAATCAACTTCCTGGTCTGAAACTTTGTTTGGTAAATGTGTGACAATTGCAATGTCTGACATTGGAGCAAGTTATTATACATTACATAATTAAGAAAATACATTTATCAAACTGTAACATTCTGTTAGCACTTTCACACCAAGGTCATTTAACATTTGATTTTTCCATAGGAATTCCTGACAAAATCCAGATTTTTAGTTGGGAAATAACATACATGTATTTGATTGTTTTCCCATGGAGTCCTTATCTATATGCCTTAAAGACAAAACAGGCATCTATTTGTAACATAACTGTCACACAGTCCTACTAAATGAGAAGAATGCCAGGATCAAAGACACCAGTGCACTTATTTCTGAAAACATTTATCACTTGCCTTTGTGATGCATGCAAATATGTATAATGCTTTTTCTCTTTGGAAGATCATTTATGTATGTCTTTTGTTCCATGCAGTAATCAAATCAAGGTTGACAGAAACAGTAATCCAAGATCAGACTTTGTTAAACTACATCTTGGCTCAATGCGAATCCAATCTGAGGCTTACAACATCTCTAGCATGAACTGATAATCGGCACTCGCATGCTCTGCATCTTCTGTGTACACATTTTATTGAGTTTACAGCTCAAGGGAAAAGGTTTCCAGTTTAAATTATGCTAATTTGCGGCGAGTTCTTTTCCTTCAGCTTTTGACATTTCCTTGAGATGCAGCTGCATAGTGCATAAGATCAGCATGTCATACTCAAAGGATTCACACTCCTGCCTCCTACAGAGTTTATATCTCATTTTAATTATTGTTTCACTTTAATGGGTTTTCATTAAATTAGGAGGCATGGTAATAACTAGGGCGAATGTGTCATCCCTCCACAATTTGAACAGTCAATAAAATGTGTCTTGACAAAATGTAATTGTTTTACAGTATCTTAACAACCCAACAGTGATTCTAAAAAACCATCAGAATCAAGAGGAAATCAAGTACAGAGAACTGATGCTTTCCAAACTCCACCTTCTTCTGGGC